ATTACTGGTGACCGGAATTCCCAGGTCCCTCATTTCGTCACTCCTTTGGAGTTCCACTGGGTTATCAGTGTTAATCCACCGTGCCGGGCCTGTGCTCTCAGTCTGTAAAAGCTATCCACACTTGGCCACGTTTAGCGGTAGTTCCCAGTCTTGAGTCAAGCGTATGAGGGTATCCAAGTCCCTCTGCATGGACTGGTTTGAGGGGGAACCCACCAGTTCCAGATCGTCAGCGAACATGAATACTGATGGTGGCGCGAGACGTGAGCCACCACCTTGTCCCTCAGTAGCCTTTCCAGTATCTGTAGTGGTACCGAGGTTAGGCTAATCGGCCGATAGTTTGCTGTTTGCTTTCTGTCCTCTCCTTTGTGTATGGGGACAACATTCGCCACCTTCCAGTCTCCTGGCAGCCGCCCTTCTTGGAGGGATTTGTTGAACAGCTTTGTTAACGGTGCAGCAAACACCCCAGCCAGTGGTTTCAGGAGGGCCGGATGGATATCGTCGGGTCCCGCCGCCGTTGTGCTGTTCAGCGCTTGGAGTTGAGCCCTTACCTCCGCTTCGGTGACGACGACATCAGCCATTGTGGATATTTCTCGCTCTATGGGGGTTGGGTGGTTTCCCTTCTATTTGGTTGGTGAACCCCTTCGAAATAACGGCGAAAAATATCCGCTTTTTCAGCATTTGATTCTGCGCTAACTCCGTCTTCGATTTGGATGTTCCCGACCGCCCCTTTAAGTGTGGCCTTGGACTGGACATCATTTAGGGTTGAGTTTCGCGTTCCTAGCTAGCTTTTTCGTATGCGATCGTGCACGTCCGCCGGACCGCCATTGCGCGCTTGCGCATTCGGTCGTGCGCCGTATCCGTAAAGATTGGTGTGAATAATAATAATAATCATAGGAATTGGGGATGGCTGCATGAGTCTTCCCCACGCTCGTTGTTTATGGGACTTTTGCACTTGCGCCTTCCACCACGGAGACTCCGTTTCTCCTGATGTTTTTCAGCGGAGCATAACTATTCGCGATTTGTAGCAAGTTGGACTTCACTAGGTTCCAGCTGTCCTCTAACGGCTCACTAGGGTCCAATTCCCATGTCATGGAATTTGCTCCCNTTGGGAGCTGCGCTAGGTTCATTCCCCCACAGTTTCTCCTCTTATCCGGATCAGTCGACCCTCGGAGAGAAGTAGAGCATGGTCGATCTTACCCGGTGGGGCCATTACATGGGTATTCTCTATATCATTTGCCCCCTTCGTTGATACCAGGTACAATCTGGTGGGTCTGCTGTCATCGCGTATCTTCGCCTACGTGTTGCACGAGGGCTTCATCGTGCAGCAGGTTCAGCATCGTTGAGCCGAAGAAACCCGACGGAGCACTTTCTTCACTCCAGTTTATCTCTGGTGTGTTGAAATCCCTGAGAATCGGTAGTTTCCCGTTGTGCCGAGCTGCCGTCCGTAGCCTGAGTGGTAGTCCCTCATCCCCGTTGGTCAATAATGATGGGCTTCTATAAATGCTAACTAACAGCAATATGATGGGTCCAATGCGCACCGCACAGCAGGGAACCTGGATGTTTGGTGTTGACATCGTGAGGTTCCGCCTCTGGCTCTGGTGTAGGTGTTGTGCCACTAGTATGAGACTCCCCCACCTGTCCTATCGTCAGTCCTATCGGTGCGATAATCACGGAAGGATGGGGGGGGGGCAGTGGTGCTTGATGTCTATTTCTGGTCGCAGCCAGGTTTCCGTGACAGCTACAACATCACATATCCCTGTCTCCACCCTAAGCTCCGACCATTTGTTTCCCACGCTACACGCATTTGTGTATGCAATGTGCAGTGGGGCTCCTCCCCTAGTGTTCGGCCTTTCGCTAAAGGAGAGTGGCTCCTCGGGATTTACTCCCGAGTTTGTGCCCCGTTTTTCGGGGCCTGTCTTTTCTTGATCGTAGCCTTTTTTGTTAGTTCCCCCAAATGAGCAGGTGTTCTACCCTGTCTTGGTCTGTCAGATCCTTTTTCCTTGGGTGGTCTCAGCGGAGCCTCCCTATAAAACGGCTTTAGTTCGGCAGGGTTTACATTTTCACGGGCCCTTGCATGGAGATGGAGGGTCTCTGGGTCCCTGTTTTCACTGGTCAGTTTGGGCAGAACCACCCTTGCTTGACGCGCTTGTTCCACCCATGCGATGGTTTCTGCTTTCAGGCTCCTACCGGGTTGATCATCGGGTGCCAACATATGGGAAAGACTACCGGTGGGACTAATAGAATTACAGACCGTGCTAGCATTCAAGATTTTCCTGGACGAACTGTGGTCTGAACTGGTTCCTGAAGTGGAAGTATGAGCATTCATCGTCCGACTTAGAACTCAGGTTGCATGCTTTTATTTTGCCTCACGATTTATTTGGATTTAACGTGGTAGATGAACGCTCACGTATAACATCTCTCCCCTTGGAGGTGTAATGGGGTATCTCTCCCTTTTTCTCTTTTAAACAAGGAGGTAATGGACTACTCTTCGCAGTGATGGGTTCCAAACTTAACTGCACACCGAAGGAATTATGGACCCTAGATTGGCGATTGCCATTTTCTGCCATGTGCAAACTGAACTGAACTGAACTTCTGTGTTACACTCCACCATCCTCTGCTAATTATATTCTCCAGCTGTCTATTCGATACCTACTTTCGAATGACTAACTCAGCCCAGATGTATGCGGGTAGTGACCTCAGTAGCTTCACATAATTTACGGTATTCCTTTGTAAGGGAACGAAGCCATAAGGGCTTCCTGGTAAAATGAGTGGAAGACCCCTTTTAGCTCAATAAACCTTATAACCACTGGTCGACGGTCCGTATGTTATAACTGGAGGACTTGACGCAGACTGAAGACTTGATCGACACAATCACACCCTGATTGGGCTTCTGTCCGTTGTTCATGGATGTCTCCCTGAAGGGGGTCATGCATCACAGTATGATTGAGAATGACGGTTTAGTAACGATTGGGACCAAACTGATCCCACAGTGGTTTGCAAGGTCGTTGCGAAATCCCTTCCTAAAAATTGGAACCGTGAGTGGTTCGCTCCAAGATGATGAATATGCTCTTGCGACCAGATGTTGCGCATTAAATCAACATTAGAATCTACGAGGTCATTACTCCCCATCTTGAAAAGAGTAAAAGCCTGACAGATCACGCTACTTCTTTCTTCAGGGCTTGGATACCATATCGTACTTCTCCTTCAGTAGGAGTTCTAATGATACTACCCATAGAACCCCAGTCACAAGAGATGAGATATTCTGGTTAGCGCCGGGTCAGCCGGGTTGTTCGTTAACTTACTGCGCTCACCGGTCAAGCCGTTGTTCCCTACTATGAATAGCTAGTCCACTTCTGTCGTAGATTGTTTCACTAACTGGAGTTCGCCGACCTCTGGTGTTGTGTATCAGTTGGAACGGTCTTCGACGATTCCCTGATACAGCTGCTACTTTTATTTCGCTAATTATTGTTTTCCACCAGTTTTCACAGTCCTTCTTGAGACTCCTCGTGATCTGACGTTGCAGACGCCACCTACACCTGCTTTGATCCCGGGCGGTCGGGATTTGCCGCTTTTTCTCCATCAGTGCTACTGACTGGTCAGATATCCTGTGCCTCGGGCGGGCTACCGCTTCAGATCCACAAGCAACCTTCGTCGCGGAGTGCATTGCTCGGCTAATCTGATCCCATTGTTCATTCACACTACCACCCCGCAATGCGTTTAGCTCTAGTCCTAGTTCTGATTCAAAACGGGCACGAACGGCTGAGTCAGATAAGCGACAATCTGCCAACCGAGTTTGGTTGATTTTTCTGCAACCATTTTCTTTCATGAGAACATCATTAGAAAACGTAAAACGTTCTACCACTGACGCATCGGGAGAATAAGCCAACACACTACGATTTTCAGCCCTCGTGTAATGCTGCTTTTGAAATGGTTTCTGCACACCTCATGACGTAGAGCAACCGAATTTTTCGGTCTGCTTCTTACTTCAGCATCAAATTGAACTTGATGTTGTTTTATGGGACACCACTTGAAAAGTGCCTGAACACTATCTAAATGGATTTTGGACTTGTGGAGTCTAAATTTCACGCCGTTGATCCTAGAATTGGTCAATCATCTGCTCCGACCCCACCTTCAAAAGTCTGATACACCGTGACATCAATGAAGTCAGCTCATCCTCCCACAGAAGGTATCCACATAAAAGTAGAGTAAGTGACAAATCACCGGAAACTGGTTGATCTAAGGCGGTTGACCTACTCTGACACAGTAGAGCTGTTCCAAGTACTACTGAATTTGAAATGAACGATTTAGGCGATTAATTTTTTTAGACCGCCCATCAATCGGTCAATTGGATACCCTAGTCCTCTATATGAATCACAGACTTTAACAAACACTACTGCCATGCATGGTGGAGTGTTCTGTCGAAGATTAGAGATGGAGTCCCTCGTCAAACTATACCGGCTCGGGCCATCAAGTAGTACAACAGCACGCAACGCTAGCAGAATGGTAACCATCTTTCCTGTGTCATATTTGTAACTGCTGCTTTTCCAGATCGGTATGAAAGAAAATAAAACCTAAGTGATTAATTAGCAAGCATACCAGCACATGATAAAGTGTCTGTTATGGGAAAGAGCATGGCTGAAATCACCCTGTTCTGAGGCAATGGGCGCAAAATAGCCCGATCAGCCGGATACCAGACTAGCGAGTGATCAAAGTACCAACATTACATGTGGACGTTTCTTGCATTTTGTTCGGGTCTTCGTGTTCGTCTCCGTTTGCTCCCTTTATTCGGTACCTTCTTTTTCTTTGTTTGATCATCAGCGGCCTCCAGATCTGGGCTACCTTTTATTTTTGAGGGGCTAGGAAAAAGGTGGAATGAACCGTTATACAGATTTCGTTTTCATTTTCCATCTCTGGCAACGTGATGCAACTCTCAACATCGAATTTCATTTTTTTTCAGTTAAAAAGAAAGCGGCATGCAGTCCATTTCAAAGAATTATTCTATGCACTTTCTTTTGTTGGTGCTCGTCTACTATGTCGGACTGATCGTATTCATGACCGGATTGCTCCCCATGGAAGATATCACCTATAAAGATCAAAGTAAAACAAACGTGTGTATCTCCGAATCGTGCGCTTTTTTCTTTTATTTTTTAGTCCCCGTTCAAACAGACCCAGGGGCTGTGACTCGGTTTGTTTTTATGATTGTGGATGGTTTGAGAAGTGATTTGTTATTGTCTCCGCAACATGCTCCCAGTTGGCGGAAATTGGCTGCGCATCTGGACCGGCACGCTTTTATCCGTGCGAATTCCTATATTCAACCACCGACGGTCACTATGCCGCGAATCAAGGTAGGACAGAATTGCTTGCATAATTATCTTTTCCAAAGGCTATCACTTCCGGTCGTGTGCCGAAATTTGTCGATGTGTTACGCAATTTGGATACGGCGGCCATGCATGGCGATACATGGCTATCTAGATTGGTTCATCAGAAGCAGTGGTCTTTGGAATTCTATGGCGATGATACTTGGATAAAACTATTTCCAGATCTGTTCAAAAGGTTTGATGGAACCAATTCGTTTTTTGTGAATGATTACTACGAGGTACATTGTCATATGATCGCGCTAACTAAAGACTCTTGCAGGTTGATCGAAATGTGACCCGACATTTGAAGGACCTATTTCAACGCCCGTCTGAATGGAACGGAGTGATCTTGCATTATTTGGGATTGGATCATATCGGTCACGTCGAAGGCCCCAGGGGATCAAGTTTGCCGTCTAAACTGTCAGAAATGGATACCGTGGCGGATTCCATTATCACCCAATTGGTATTGTCACAATTGATGTGTCGAAAACATTCCATGCCCATGATGATGGTGATGATGATGGAGATTCGTTCTATTTGCTTCATTTTCACCTTTTTTGCCGACCTAGTCTATTGGTTTACTAATCTGTCCTTGACAGCTTTGTTGACTTTTTCCCATGTTTGTTTGGCCATGCTGGAATACAGTCTACAGTATTTATTCTCAACGAACTTCATTGAAAACCAGCTACTAAATCGTGATATTTCAAGGCTTATTATAAAATGCTGTGAGTAATTTGGGGAACACAGAAGTGGTCGTCTTTGGAATATTTCGCTGCAGTCTCTTCTTGTCAGATCGAAGATTCATACACGCATTGTATGTGTATTCCACACGCGTCTAAATCCAGACTGTGTCCCAGACAAATCACGGTGCAGTAATCATTATAAAAATGAAAAAGGTTTGGGCCATGGCCAAAGCAGGTGAATTTTCTTAGGGAATTCACAACCGGAGCCTTCGGCGAGCCAAAGCCTGGCATACTAGGCAGCGAGACGGTTTGTGAAAACAGCAGACAATTGGGGGCCGGTGTCCAGTTCTTCGGGTCATGCGCCCTTTGGACGGAGTCAGACGTTCATGGTGCAACTCGATGCTCAATAGAGCAGGAATTTGCGGTTGATATACCTTTTGTTGGTTGGTTTGGAATCAGGGTTTTCGGCCCCTAGGTGAACTACTAGTGGACCACCAACACAGTGATGGCCCCCGATATTGACTTGTCGTCCTGTCAGTTTGGTGGGAACACATCCACCACGAGCAGGCAATAGGTGGGACTTCCTCAGCAGAAGCTATTTGAGACGCTTCATACCCGGAGAGGGAGAGAATGTTATTCGGGTACCAGACCTGGGTTTGAGCTTCTACACATCACTGAATTTCCGATTTGTATCTTTTAAAAATGATCACTTCTGTGTCCTCGAATGATGTTTAATTTTTAGCAAGTGAGCAGTTCTGTCAGAATCAGAAAGGTTTGAGTTCCTACGGTTCTTGGTTGGTTTGGAATCGGGGTTCTTACCGACTTCTGTAGATGAACTGCTATTGGTTCACCAACCCAGATATAGCCTCAAATTTGGCTTTTTTCATCTCTTTCTGGTGGGAAATCACTTCTGACACTTGAAGACAGTTGTTAGTGATCCAATACCGAGGTTTATTTGAAGCACTTGGTGGTATAGGGGCTTTTCGTGAGGTGCAAGAGAAGGCTAGTCAATCGCGATCTGCGACACCCACTTCTAAACGCAATGAGGCTTTGAGAAAAAGTAATTATGATTTGCTCTATCATGAAGTAAACATAAGTGACAGCTATTTGGTCCTCGAAATAAGGAGTTTAGCTACAATTCAAGGAAAATGCAACAGGATCAAGCTCGGATTTATCTATATGTCCAACTATCTATCTATCTATTTATCTATCTATCTATCTATCTATCTATCTATCTATCTAACCTATCGGTTGTACCACTGTTCACCTTATCCTT